ATCTAATTCTCCACTTGGCGTCAGTATGTATCATACTGACGCTAACATCATCAAAAACTGAATTTATGAGTGTAACGAGAACAATTATTGCCTATGAAATGATTGAAACTGCTTCAACTACATGTCAACAGGAACTCGTACTTTACGGTTTTCATTCTTCATGTAGACATTTTCACAAAAAATAATAGCAGATTTGTGATCTCCACCAAAAAGTAAATATATAGACATATGATTTGTATATTTTTGACGAAAAAACACTTTTCTGAAAAAAATCCTGAAAGGTATTCCATAGTAGTTCTTTTATAGATCTAATACTATAAAATCAAGGATAGTTTTTCGCCCCAAGGAGCTCGTATATTTCCTTTTTTTTTTTCTTTTATATTACATTTATCAACAGAAATACTTTCAAATTCGTGATCTCCATCAAAAACTGCGTTCACTGATATATAAATCGAGATATTTCAGTTCAAAAAAAACTTTTTGTCTGCGCTATGCCCCATGACTTTTTTCAAAATTTTTTTCCGTCAAAAATATACAAGTCATATTGTTAGCGGTGACTCATATCTATCCTGGTTTTCTCTATCTCTCTTTGCAATTGTTATTCTTTTCTTTCATTCTCTTTTCCATTGTATGTTGTTATATAAATATGTACGTGTGGTTAAGGACATTTTATTATTCAGTCAGAGATATTTTTGCAAAATAAATAAACATCAGCTCGTCGAAGCGAGCTAATAATTTGGTGCCGTGACCCATCTTCTTCTATTTACTACATCGAAGAAGAACGAACTGGTTAATAAATTCACTCATCCGTGACGGAAAGAGTGAAATATGATCTCATCCTTCTAGGAAAGAGAAAATTAGATATTTACATACAAATTAATTTTACAATTTAATTATCATAAGAAGGTATCTTTCTTATATATAGAGTTCAAATTTTTTTGTCATTCCTTTAAGTGCAAATATATATATTTCACAACAGCTAGCGGTACAAGAAGAGCGATTAATCAAAGTGGAGCAAATCTTTTATCATACGAATTAATTACAAATTCACTGACAAGAATACGAAATAAAAAACTAAACGATATGTCATTTATGCAAGAAATGGAAACAACCTCGATGGAAGCTCAACAACTTCATTCCCCAGGTCGAAATAGCTATGTCGGATCCTGTCGGATAGGTTTCAAATCCGTTGAGATACGGCTAATCGGATTCGGTCGGTTACTTTTTGTCTGATTCCGATGCTATCCACTGTTTTCCTTTGATATCCGCCGGTCGGATTCATCGAGCTCCGACTAGATTCATATATTCGGAACTGGTCAGATCCGATCTCAAGATCTGTTCGCTTCCGATGGGATTCCGGGGAATCTGATGTCAAGAAATCGCCGGATTTTGCGGTTTCAAGTGACACCGGATTCCATGATAAAACCGATCAATCACTGGTATCGGAAGTTGTCGGATTATATAAGAATGCAGAATACCCAGGCCGATCTCACACCATCGGATCCGATGGAAATTAGTCGGAAATTGTCGGATGTTGGAAAGTGTCGGATTTTCAGAGTTCCGACAAGACCCCGGCCACTTCCGACACTTTTCGACATCCGACAACTTCCTGTCGGAATCCGATACCAAGGATTCAGACGAATTGCCATAGGATTCGATAAAATTCGATAATTTTTCCGATAGGATCCGACGAGATCCGACTGTCGGATTGTTCGTTCTGGGTATCCAGTATTATTTTCCACGTAGTCGGATTCATGAATTAGAATATATTCTGACAGATCAATCAGCTAATCATCTAATAAGATATTTCTCTTTTTACAAAATTCCAACAACAAAATCAAAAATCTGGAAATCCGATTTTGTCCAGATTTCATTCACCGTTTTGTTTTACAGATATCGATCTATATAAGGAAGTCTCTACTTTAATATTTTCAATAAATTTCCAAAGTGTTGCTTAGATTAAGTTTACTTCAAATGATTTATTTCCTTATACAATTATGTTTTCCACGCAGTTGGATTCTTGAATAAGACTATATTCTGACGGATCAATGAGCTAATCAATTAATTAGATATTCCTCTTTTTACAAATTTCCAACAGCAAAATCAAAAATCTGGAAATCCAATTTTGTCCAGATTTCATTCACCGTTTTGTTTTACAGGTATCGATCTATATAAGGAACTCTCTAATTTCATATATCAAATGAATTCTGCCATTTTGTATAACTAAGTTCTATATATTAGGAACAACGTTAGTACAAGCATTGTTCAATTTTAAGAAGGATCGTTGTATGTACATTGTTGGATTCTAGGAATAAACCCAGTTGAAACAGTTGAAATCCTTTAGACTCTTGATGACATCCTGTTGCAATCTTTACAAATTTTGATAACATCCTGGTGAACTCTGTTCAAAATGTCGATTCAATCTTTGAAAAATCTTTAGAATTCTTGATGAAATCCTTGGGAAATCTTCGTGAAATCTTCAGAAATCTCGACGAAATCCTTGAGAAATTTTTATAAATCTTGATGAAATCCTTAGGAAATCTTCAGAAATTTGGATGAAATCCTGGACAAGCATTTAGAAATCTTGATGAAATCCTTGGGAAATCTTCATAAATCTTGATGAAATCTTTGCGGAATCTTCAGAAGTCTCGATGAAATCTTTGTGAAATCTTCAGAAATTTTGACGAAATCCTTGAGAAATCTTTATAAATCTTGATGAAATCCTTGGGAAATCTTCAGAAATCTCGATGAAATGCTGGGGAAATCTTTAGAAGTCTCGATGAAATCCTTGAGAAATCTTTAGAAATCTTGAGGAAAATTGGATAAAATTGTCAGAAATCCCTAGTAAATCTTTGGAAATTTTGAGAATGCTAGAATGAAATCTGTGTGAAATGTTGATTGAATCCTTGTGCAATCGAAACAGATTCAGCCAACTTCTGATGAAATCCGACTGTATTCTGTCGGAGCCTTACGTTATCAGGCGTTTCTCTGTGAAAGGATCCTGGTGGTTACGGCATTATCTGACAAACAGTTCCGCCAGGATCCGATCGGATCCTTTCCGACGTAATCCGGTCCGGAATCCGTTAGTTAGGAATGCTGTGAAATACGGTTGGGTTCCGATCGGATTTAGTTGGGAACCCGACGAATTCCAGTGTGATCCGACATCGGATCCGATAATTTCCGGTAGGATCTACAGGTCGGATTGAATCACCTGGGTCAAGCCAAAAAGAAGTAATGAAGAAAATGGCTGAATTTTCAGGAGAAGCTAATGAAATCGATATTGATGAATGGCTATTTGATTTAAATAATTTATTTTCATTAATGAAATTAAAAGGTGAAACAAAAATTCTTGAAACGATGGGCAAATTAACAGGACCAGCATTACGATGGTATTAAGAAAATTTAAGATCATGCATTAATTGGAATGATGCTGAAAAAGCATGGCGAGATCGATTCAAAGAATTTACATCAGACAGTCAATTAATGCCAGAATTTTTTTATATTCATCAAGAAGAAAACCAATCTGTTATATCATTTTATGAAAATGTTATTAGGAGGTATAGAAAATCTCGACAATTTATTAGTGAACAACAAGCCATTACAGTATTACAAAATGGCGTTAAAAATTCATTAAAAGAACATTTAATTCGTAATGAAAAAGAAATTAAAAAACCTGAAGAATGGTTGCGATTTGCAAGAGAAGAAGAATACATACAAAAACGAATTCAACAAAAAATTAATGCTCCACATCATGAACCAAAGAATCCACCATTTTTTGAACATCCATTACCAATTGCAGCAATTCAACCAACGTCAACAAATATTCACTCATCAAATCAACAGCCATTTACATCACGTCATTACTATAAACAACGACATCAACAATTACCATCATTAACCAATAATCGAACATATCCAAAACAAAATAATTTTTCAGATCTTAAGCAAAATCGAAAAAATTATCAAAAATCTAACCCATGTTTAATTTGCAATAAAAATATTCATGCAACAATAAAATGCTTTTATAAGAAGAGCAACGGCTGTTTTAAATG